AGTAATCCACGACAATTCACAGCGTTCTATAGGAACGTTGGTGATCTTATCTCCCCTTAACGACATGAAGATTGTCTCATCGAAGTGACAATCCCCAAAATGTGATGTAAAAATATCTCTTGTGAAGGGCTCTAAGTAGCGAATAATGGATGACAAATCATAACCGACATAGATTCCCATTTTTCTCTGAGGACCCATTTTGGTACGTTGTGGCTGTGCTATTAGCACATAGACTGCGTACCTAAACACACGTAAATACAAGACGTTAGGCTCATAACTAGTAAACAACTATAATTGTGAATGAGGTTGGGTAGTGGTGGGCCTCAGGTGAACTAACATAGCTGGGTACAATATTGCATGGCCCCAAGCAGATACCGACAAATTGGTTCGCATAACCAAAGTCCGAGCTATCGTTTGAAGACGCCTTATGAAAGCTTCTACCAGGTTGTTTTTAGGTGTGAACATGGGGTACATGATGTTCAACTTCAATCCCAACAAACATGCAATAATCATCAAAATTCTGTGACGTAAACTCTCCAGCATTATCCAGTCAAATCGACTTAATCGGATAATCAGGGTGGTGAGCCATAAATTTAATAATTTGTGCTACGAGTTTTACAAATGCAGCATTGCATGTGGACAATAAGCAGACATGTGACCATCGCGTCGATTCATCAACCAACACCATGAAGAATTTAAATGGTCCGAATGATGGTTGGATAAGTCCACAAATATCCATTTGAATTCTCTGAAGAAACTTAGAAGGTCGTGCATAATCTTTGTAAGTGAGGGTTGAATGTTCAACTTCCATAGGGAACATGCTTTACAAAGCGAATGGTTGGGATAAGATTTTAAATGATGCCCATGTAATGCTTTGACGATACGGCAGATCATATCTCGTACGGGGTGTCCCATTAGATCATGCCAAAGCAGCCAAGTGGTCTGGAACTCGACCATAGGGTTAGCCATGTGATGGGTCTCCACGGATTGAATGGTTGTTATGTATAACCCACTCCAGAGATGTTCCAGCTTCTTGTGAATACGCTTCTGGCTATATTTGTAAGAAGTGATACAAAGAAATTCAGAACCATTCTCTTCAATGGTTTCAACATGATATTAATTATCTCGAATATCTCTAAAACTCAGCAACGTTCTTCCAGAATGTGGAGAATAAAGTGTCTCTTTAATGGTTAATTCAGTACCATTGGACAACATTATACGGGCATTTCCATATCATTCTATCAGGTTGGATGGGGTTGTCAGAGGTGCATTTTTAGGTACGAAGTTAGTAAAATAGTGTTTCTCATGCAAGATGGTGTGCGTGGTGGCACTATCAGCCAAACAACTAACTTCCCCACTAGTCATACCTAGAAATAAATTAATTGAATCGGTAACATGCATAAATATAATTCCATTAGTTCAATTAATCAATTTGAGAAATAATATCCATAAAATAATTATCCATAATTAAAAACAAACCAAAACCAAACAAATAATTCCAAATACTTTGAAAAATTGTTCGAATATTAAACCATAAACCTAAAAATTTAGGGGGGATGTTCGGCCATTCCTAGTGGTTCGGCCACTAGGGGTAAAACACCCTAAAAACATGTCTTGAAAAATAAAACTTTTATTCTTCCATAGGAGCATATGCCTCCTTAAAATCTGAAACCTCTAGCGTTGTAATAGCATCTTTGGGATGTTCTACAAACGCAAAGTTAGACTCACGACGGGAATGAAACTTGGCAATAGCCTCGGGGGTAGCTCAGCATACGTGTGACCAATGATCCTTTTATCCACAGTGGTAGCACCTGTCCAAGGGTTTGGCGCTTATGGGTTAAATTTCCTCCCTTGGGTGGACCTCTGTTTTGTTGACCTTGGGCCTATGGTGGGGCTTGCCACCTTTTTCCACAGCCACAACGGGGTTTTTGTCGATTATGGATGCTAAAATTGCTTGCATGCGCTTCAGGCGCGGCGTTCAAGCTAGTGGGTTGAGCTTGATGATTTCTCATCAAAAGCTAGTTCTGCTTTCAGCGGGAAGTAAAATAGATATCAAATCCAAAAATTTGGTGAACTTTTGTACCCTATATTGTTGCTGCAAGGCAATATTGGTGGCATTGAAGGTCAAATAGGTCTTCTCCATTAGATCATGTTCGGTTAAGTCCTTATTACAGAACTTAAATTGTGATTGGATTCTACAAACTTCAGAGTTGTATTCATTCACAAACTGAAAGTCTTGGAAGCATAAATGCTGCCAATCGTGTTTTGCTTCAAGTAAGTAAATGTCTTTCTGGTGATCAAAGCGATTCGCCAGAGTGAGCCAGAGGGTATGTATATCCTCACCTGTGAGGTACTCAATCTGCAGTGCATCATGGATGTGTTTGTGGATGAAGATCATAGCAGTAGCTTTCTGAGCTTCGTCGGCGGGTTCATCGTCAGTTGGTTCCTCGATAATAACTCTAAGACTTTTTGTAGTAAGATGAAGCTTCACGTCTTAAACCCACTTCAAGTAGTTTTTTATAGAGACTTCCAAAACGGTGAAATCGAGATTGTTCAAGTTCGACATGTCCCTAAACGAAGGGTGCACCAAAACATGGTTAGTCATATGAAAAGCCATAGACATATATCGTAGAACATTCGTGTTCTATAGACATGTATTAGTTTAATTTAAGCATGAAAGCTATGGGTTTCATGTGGTAAGTTTTGAATGAAAACTTCAGGTTTCAAAGGCACTAAATTTGAAACTACATGTTCAATTTAGTTATGAACATTTAGTTCATATAGGGGTACCTACAAGAACACAGAATACAATATACAATAAAGTGTAATGGATTTGTGGATTGCTTAAGGAACCCAAGTGTGAGTGCTTCAAGACTACGAAAGATAGTCAACGGTTCAAAGAAATAATATAATTGATTGAATCATTAATTGCCAAAAAGTGAGCTGCAAGCCAATAATTTTGGATTAATTGTCAGATTAATAGACTATTAGTCACTTTAATTAATTCAATAGATCGAGACCATTCGGGGTTGATCGTAGAAGTGAAAATAATTATAACATTCAGGTTTAAATTATAGGGAATGCCAAAAAAAAAATAGCATTGGATTCGAAAAACCATAGCCCAATAACTTTAGGCTTGGGTGCCGTGAGTATGGCAAAGCCCTAAAGGGGCATATGGGCCTCGGGTGGTTGCGGAGCAACCCAAACATGGCTGCAAGCCACGGGTCGAGAGTCTAGGAAGCCCAGCAATAAGGTTGCTGGCAATGTGGGCCGAGATCAGTGCACGGGGCAAGCCTAGCCCAAAGGCTGGCTTGCAGGTGGTGCGAGGAAGCCCAGCCGAAGCTGGGTTTCGGGTCGTTGGGTCATATAGACAAGCCCAACCACATGGGCTGGCTTATAGAGTTGCGGGTCGTGGCAAAGGCAAAGCCTAGCAAGCTTTTAGCATACTGGCTTGGGCAGGGGCTTAAGGCCTGATCAGGAACAAGCCCAACATAGCTTTGAGCTATGCTAGAGTGGGCTTGGTTGTGGACCGGGGCTTCAGACCCGTGTGCAATTCAACCTAGGCCAAAATCTGGTTGCGGGTTAATGGCAGCAAGCCTAAAGCCCAAAGGGTTTCTATGCTTGGTCTACGGTGTCAAAAACGACATTGTTCCCCACACGGTTGAGCTGCAGGCAGTGTGGTGGTCCAACGATGGTGCCACGGTGGTGTGGCAGCTATGCCGCATAAATCCCAATTTGTTTTTTTTTTTCCGAATTTCTAGGGTTAAAAACCCTAATTGCTTCTAAATTAATTTCGATGCCTTGACTCACAAATTCCACATAGCATAATTGCGTATTGCATAAACAAGCATATATATTGACAAAATATAAGAACATACATACAATATATATAATTGAAATGAAAATATAAATATAGGGGGTTCATGCATCATGGGGAATGTTTTCATGCTTCAAGGTTTTTTTAAATATCTTAATTTATTTTAGAATAACCTGATTGGTAGAAAATAATTGAAAGCCTTTGATTTTGTAGAAGAAAGCCTCCTCCACGATCCTTCAGTTCCTTAGCTTCCGGCAAGAGTGTGTTGATAACGTGTTGTAGGCCTATTTGACTGAACTGTATAAAGGACAGAGAGGGAGAGGGGCCGGCAGCAAGAGAGAGAGAAGAGAGAGATGTAATTCTAAGGTGTGTATTATATCACCCCATTGTGTCTTTATTTATAGTGGTATGGAAGGTTAAATCCTTACCCTATTAGGATTACAACTTTAATAGGAATTAAACTACTAAAAGGAATATACAAGATACTCCTAGATACACTAGGATTTACACAATCACATTCTTAATCCAATAGAACTACAACAATTAACAGCATATTGACATAAGAAGATAACATTTGAACCGTATGAGCAAAAGTGAAACACAAGTTGATTTGAAGGGAACATGCAACATTTGAGTTTAGAGGAGTTAAAACTTAAGTGAGACTTGAATTCACTAGTGTAGATATAATTACATCATCTTTGCGGGGTTAAAATTTAAAACCTAGGCCTAAAATATTACATAATTTCTGTTGCAATCTTCCTCCCTCCTCCAATCTTCCCTTGGTCCTGCCTTTCCAGAATAGTACACGATCGTATGACTTTGACCTTGACTATTTAGTATATTATGACTTTTTCACACCCTAATCCCTGCTTTAATTCTCCCGCTTTTTGAATAATCTTTTGTCCACATATGTAAATTAATATTAAAGTCACCAGAATTCTTGGTTTCTATGTAATCTAGAGAGACAGCCGGCAAACTCTACTGAATCAGCAAACATATTTTATCTCAAAAAGACCAATTCAATGATACAAATCAAGCCCAAGGCAAGCTGACAAGTCACAAATAAATAAAATATTGCACCTTTCTTCCTTAAAACCAAGTATAAATAAATGTTTTGCACCTCTAAAATTTTCACGACCAATGCACTATCACTTAATATTGAAATTCGATTTTAATTAAGATGATGAAGTCGTCGAGAAGGCATTTGGAGTTGCAGGGTCCAAGGCCTGCACCTCTTATGGTGAGCAAGAATTCACAGAAGGTGATGAAGAAGAAGCCAGTCGTAGTATATCTCATCTCTCCCAAGATTATTCACGTCCAACCTGAAGAGTTTATGGGTTTGGTTCAACGGCTCACTGGCAACAATAATAATCAAGGTTATCGAGCATCCAAGGTTAGTAACAATAGGGTTGCTAATTCTCTGTCTTGCTCTTCTTGTTCCACCACTTCTTGTTCGATCAACCAAGAAGCTTTCGTGAAGGAGAGCCTAGAGAAGCACAACAATAATAGGGCAGATGAGTTCTATGGTGATCGTGTGCCTTTTGGAATACCTACTACAACAACTTCCAACTTTGCCGAAAAATTCTAGCTATATATATATGCAGAAATATGTACATGTTAAGATCAAAATTCAAAAGTAAGCTATCTGGGCTACTTTGAGTTCGAGATAAGCATACAATACGTTTCATATATTACAGTCTAGCTTTTAGCTTTGTATACCAGAATTAGTTAAGTTAAGATTATTTGATGGATATCATATAAGCCATCTTTTTCATGTATGAGTTTTGTAGGATGTTTGATTTTTATTTTAGTTGGACACTTTTTATTTGAAATAATTTTAGTTTTTGATCTTCTTTTGCTAAGACTATTACACACTACACATTATATTTGTCAAACGACAAAGACTAGTACACACTATATTTGTTTAATTGACAAAAAGATTGGTTTAAAAGTTTAAAGTCATTTTGGATAAATTTTTCACTATGTCAGAAACACGTCTCGGTACATCAAGTGTTATAATATAAGTAGTTGGATTTTTTTTTTTCAAGTATCCAACCACTTGTATTGTAACACTTGGTGTACCAAACCCTATTCTCAGTAGAAAAATTTAAGGAAAACTAATGAAAAAGGCTCAAAAACTTTGAGTTTTTACGATAAGGACAAAATAAAGGGTAAAGTGAATAATATCATGATTGACTTTTTAGTGCAAAAATATGATTTTTCGTTAAAATAAACAATATCGGAAGCATTTCGTTAAAGTTCCCAAAAATTTATCGTCATTCTGATAGGAACACATAAATGTGTAGGTTCCGAATGATGATCATGTTGGAAATGTGCCCTAAAGCCAATCATGTGATGATACTTTACGGACATTTCACATGTTAAACTAATCTAGTTTTACATATAAAGGGCAAAGATTATTGTTTGAGCCGTCTCATATAAATGTTATATGCTTAAACGATAAAGTCCAAGGAATATGTGATTGGGAGAATGTAATCTAATGAAGTTAGATTCATGAGACCATTCTTTCGTAGACACATCCTAAACGTTCCTGATCATAGGATTGCCAATTGGGCGTTGACAGTCCGTTAAGATCAGTACGTACTATGTCTTCTCTCAGGGAGAGTGATTAGTCTCGAGTCATTGGTGTGTGTGACATCAAGACAAGTACGGTAGGTGCTCAATAGAGAATGAGTTCACTGAACGCGATCAACGAAGGGTTCTCATATTCCATGTCACATGAGAACTCATAGTTAGGATAATGCAAAGTAGTCCTTTGACCTGAGGCATCATAGTTGTCTTGTGGTTAAGTCCTTGATCTTTGATTATGTCAAAGTCACTCCATCAGGAGGGTGTCCACGGCATCGTTGGGGTCAAGCCACTTATCTATGGAGACAAGTGAATGCGCAACAAGGGATCTCTAACCTTCAAACCGTTTGAGGGAGAATACTCTCTGATATGATTTGAATCTCTGGCCAGAGTATGAATGAGATTAGGGAATGCGTTCCGAATCACATTCAAGGTAATCATATAAGCACAAGACACACATTGGATAGTAGACATAAGAAAATAAACTATCAAACCAAACAATGTGGTCAAGAGTATTAGATTAGAGAAAGACCGTATTGCATTTGTAATCTCGAACTGAATAGGTTCTCTAACCTCTTCTGATTAGCTTGGATAACCATGATATGCTGCTAGGTGTCACTCATGGTTTGTGGAAGCCCTAAACGTGTGTAATCACTAAAGGGAGAATTGAAAATAGTTTCAATTCACAATCGAATGTAAAATGGTTTTAATCGCCCACTACCTCGCTAAAAGGAACCTAATGGATCGCACACCATAAAAGGTAGAGATTGGAGATTAAACGGAAATGAGTAAGAATGATTAAATGGTTTAATCATTTATTTATGGCAAGGATTAATTAATATGTTAATTAATCAAACGAATAAGTTCGTTAAAGACTTTGGGATAGTTTTGGACCTTAAGGCCCAATGGGCTTCGAACGTCAAGCCCATTAACTTAAGTTGTGTGACAATTTAATGAATAAAAATTCATTAAAGCCCAAAAGCCCAAAAATCCCTAAATGGCCGGCCATAGTGTATGAATTAGGGTTTTGGTTGTTTAGGTCACTTAAAGAAGTGACTATATAAATAACTTTATAGCCAAATATTCATTAAGGATTAAATGGGTTTATTTTTGGGGAAAATTGGTGAGAATTGTCTCTCCATTTTCTCTCTAAAGAGGCCAACACCTTGGAGGGTACATCTAGCAATCCTACTACTCCAAGGTCACTCATTTCTTCTACAATCTAACCTTGGTGAAGAGACTTAGAGGTTCTCAATTTTGGGAACTTGGAGAACCTATTCTTCCATCCAAATCCATGGATCTAAGAAGCAAGGAATGAAGACCCCTATCTCTTTGGGTGATTAGCCTTTGCTTATGCAAAGAAGAATCTACAAAGGTATTAATTTCAACTCACTTTGTTTTGAGTTGATTATTGGTTCACCAATCTACTAGGCTTTGAATTTCATGGTAATGTTTTGTTTTTGAGTGCATACAAGCATGATTCCGCCTTTAATTGTTAATTGCATGCTATATGATGTTGCTCAAATGAACATGTTTTCCCAAAAGATTTCCTTCAAGTGGTATCAGAGCCTAGGTCTAGTAGTTGGTGAATCCTTTTGGGTTTTGTAGTTCATAAGTTTGTGATTTAAAAGTTGTAATTGTTACAAGCTTTATTCTTGCTTCTTTGAAAGTAAATTTTGTTGGAAAATTTGCTATCTCAAATGTTGTAGATGTTGTTCATATGAGCATGAATATTGAAGCTAAAATTTGGTGCCATGCTTTTGGGAAAATTCGGCCAAAACCAAAGGGTGGATTTTTGGGTTCTTGTTTGACTTGTTAAAAGTGTTTTAATGTGTTCTTTGGAACCCCTAAGTACCCTAGTTTGGTTAGATGTTATTTCCCTTAAGTAAGAATGGTTTTGGAATGTTTTTGGGTGAAAAAAGTTCATGGAAAATTTTGGGTTTTTCATGGATGTTCTTCATTGTTCTTGATGTTCTTGCCAAGAACAAAAAGGTTTGGTGTTTTGATTCAAAGTTTTGAATTATTTCATAAAGTTTATGTGATATGTTTTTTAAATGATTTATCATGTATTTAAAGTGTTAAATATTTGATTAAATGATGATAGAAATATCTATCATCAAAACATATATTATTTTTATGAAAGGTGATAAAAATGGTGATAAGATTTTCTTATCTTACACACCACTAGATTGCCTTATGCCAAAACTCACTAATCAACACACACATCACACTTATCCCTTCCAAAACCGGCCACCCCTTCAAGTGGGGTACTTTTGGGGCTTTTATGCAATTACATAAAGTTTTGATACTTTTGTGTATTTGCACTTTGGCCCAAAAGTTTACGTTTTTACGTTTAGGTCCAAAAACGCTAAAGGACAAATTGTTTTGTTCCTTTAATGAAGTTTTTGCATTATTAAAAGTTTGGGTTCTAGTTGTATTTACATGAAGTTGTGACTTTTGTGTATTGTACAAAGTGACCCCAAAAGTTTTTGTTATTGCAATATGGCCCAAAAGTTGAGGTTAATTGCATGATGGCCCAAATAGGATGAGAACAAAATTGTTTTGTCTCTTTAAATGAGAATTGGATTTTCATTTTGTTTATCTCCATTTAAATCAATTTTATGGATACAAAAACCAAATGAAAATGTTGCATTCATTTAATTAGTTAAAGTGTTAATTAATTAAAGGGTGATTATGAACCTAAGCCTAATATAATTGAGCTATGTGAAAGGCGTTTCAAATTTGTTTGAACCATGGGAATGTGTAGATTAGATTTTGGTTGTAATTTGATTTGATCATCAAATGTTGTAAAAGGGCTTAAGCTCTTCTTTACTTTAAAGTAATTTGTTATATGCAAATGTTGTAATGAGCATAAGCTCACCTTTACTTTGAAGTACTTCTTTCTTGCTTTATATGATATGCATGAAAATGAAGTAGTTGGGTCCAACGCCCCTAAGACAACACGCCTTAATGTGATTAAACGCGTAACTAAAATTAATCACCATCCCTAGACCGAGATTCAACACAAGGCTCGTGTTGAATCTAAACAAAGGTTCATAATCATCCTTAGGCCCTAAGGCAACTATATATAGTCCATCAAATGAATGCAAAGTTTATGTTAGTAGTATCATATACTCTTGCTTTAAAAAAATCGTTTTAAAAGCATAGTGGGAGTATTATGTACAACTAAAACAATGAGATGGACCAATAGTTGTAATAGGACCAAAATTGTTTTAATAGAGATTAAAATGTATATTTATATGTGATGAGACCTAAAACCCTCAACCAAACCAATATTAAGTTGATAAACGGAGAGTGCTTTGAACACTCTTTCGTGGCCTTCCACCGTGGTAGGCTCCGATCGTTTGTGACTCGTACACCGGCTTCACCCTATAATGGGGGAGTACAAAGTGCGTGCTTACACTCAGGAGGAGTTCTATATACATACATGATGAAGTGAGGTAGGCAACGAGTTTAGCCAACATGATATAATTCTGAGGCTATGCTTGAACACCTACACGAACTAGGCATGGTGGGAATGACTTAACTAAGTACAATGACGCCAACATGATATAATTCTGAGGCATCATTTTCTAGAGGCCAAACTAGATGGGTACTTGCAAGAGGTTGTTGCAAATGAGTAAGCGTACTCTCTCATTATTATTAACGCTAGCCAACATGATATAATTCTGAGGTGGGCTTGGTAGTAGTGAGTCTCCCATAACCTACTAATAGTTTCATCCAAAACTCTCGAATTCCAATGAGGGATATGGAATTTGCCAAAAATAGTGGGTGGTGCTATTTTGATTTAAAGACCCGAATCAAATGGCTTAAAATCAATCAATTTATATTCGTTATGTATTTGATTACCAATATATTTGCAAACGCTATCCAACACTTGACAAATAAAAGCCGAACGTTTAGTTTACGGACTTGGTACTACAAAACCATAGATTGTCTTTAATGGCTTGTAAAAGTACCACAGTAGTCTCATCCTCA